GTTAATTTGGCCGAAAACCCTAAAATCGGGTCACAAATTTGCAGGCCGTACGTCCCCGATTTCCTCCTTCTATCTTAGCATCTCCTTATTCCGTCGAGTATAATCAGGTAAGTCATGCAATTTGGGGTTTTTTTTTATTTATTATATTTTTTTAAAATTTATTTTCTGTTTATGGCCTTCTCTCTCTCTCTCTCTCCGTTTTTTTAGAATTTATTTTCTGTTTTTGTTTAATTTTTAAAATTTATTTTCTGTTTCTGTTTAAAATTTATTATATTGTAATGGTAGGGAAACACGATTTGTTGGTCTGAAAAACACAAGTCTTTTCAAGACCTTGATTTTGAATATGTTGGATGAAAATTGCTCGATGAAAATTGACTAAATATGTTTGGCAATTGGCAGTTTGGCACTCATCGTCAATACTCCATTACTTTTTCCACCCCTTTTAATGGAGTAATTAGCTTTCCTCAATTAGCTTAATTTAATTATGATATGATTCTTATAAGCAAAATTAAACTGAATTTTTAGTAACTTTAAAACGTACTTTGAGCTCCTTTCCTTTTTTTTTTTTTTTTTGACAACGACAGCTCCTTTCCTCTAATGTTAAATAATTTACATATTTTAATTGCTTCATAAATCTAGAGCTGGCATATGTATCATGTTAAGAAACCTCAATACTAACCTCATAAGTTTAATCTTGTGTGATTACATATACAAAATTGAAAACATTTGACATTGATATACTTTTTAAGTGTTCCATATCGAAGTGGTGGCCCATTTGATTATGTAGATCATAAACCCTTGACAATAACTCTTTTTTTTTTAATGATCATGTTAAGTAAACTTTTGTCACGTCTTAAAAATTTTCTTTAATTTCATTGATGACATATTAGAATCAAATTCAAGGTATGTAGGAAATAAACATTGTATTTCCTAATTCATGGCCTCTAAGGTGGAAAGAAACACCTAAATAAACATTGTACACCATTTTGATTGGTTACTTAGTTTACACTAATTAGAGTAATTAGACTAATAGAAATATAGAGTATCTAGTTAATTTTAGCTAAAAACAAAATTACTATAGTAGCAAGATAATCTATTTGAAAAGTCCACTCCCAATTCTTTCATGATTAAATTTGACAAGAACAATCACACAAAGCTTTAAATGAGATGGTGTAACATCCCTATTCCCTCATACTAACATCAGCAATAATAACATGTTGTAAGAATTTAATCTGTATTGGTCACGTAAATGGGGAACGGGTGTATGTGTCGAGTCAAGAACTAAAAGAAAATTATACTTGTACTTTTTCATTATTGACCACAAAATATCCCATATAATATCATTGCATAATCATAGGACTGAATGACTAATGAATATTCAGGTGATGAACCTGAATATTATGTTTAATTTCCTTAGTAATAGTAGTTTGAACTTTCTTATGGGCAATGGTGAGCTGAATACTTGGCTCTTTGGGTAAATTACAATTTGAAAGTAAGTTAGGAAACCAACCAAAACAGAAAGTAAAATCCAACCAAAAACATTTTAAAGCAAATCAAAATGCATAAATTAGGTAATTTAAGATGGAAAAATAGGGCAGCCATTATATTTGTTCATTATTTTTGAGATTAATTTTGGATGTAATGAAATTTTTCTGTCTTGAATCGATTAAATAAGCCATGTAACTTTTTTTTCTTTGAGATTTACTGTTGAATTTGTACATGATTTTATCTAATATGCAAGATTCATAATGACTAGTTAAGAATTAGACATGGTAAATGTGCATTCCAAATAAGCTACCTTATCGTAAATGTGTATTAATACATGGGTTTATCTCATTGTAATTACTTTAATATCAGGCTACATAGTTGAATATTTTCCTTAAATAGTATAAATATCCTTTTCGGCTAATTTTTGGTTAAATATGGTGAAATTTAACTCTTGAACTTTTGATTAAAGCTATGTTCTCGATCTTGACCTTTTGGTTGTTTTTTTTTTAATTTTTTTAAATTTCGTTATTCAATCTGAAATAGCTAATTGTGAGTCGCAAATTAACCCCCTTTGCAGCTCCATCGTCGTCGGATTCCTCTTCTGCCCGTCCCTCCTCCTTTTTCTGTCTTTTTCCATCGCCCCCACTAGGTAAGTCGGCTGTAGTTATTTATTTTTTTCATTTTAAAATTTTTTATAAATACCCTGCCTAAAAGTGTAACACCACCATATACTAGGACCACCTTCGTCGCCGCCTCTGCTTTTCTGGTCAACTCCTCCGCTGTGTGTTTTTCTTCCCTTCTTATTTAACTACTTCTTTTACTTATGCAATATGATTCATATTTATGTTAGTTGTTTATGAAGTTGTGATCTAAATTTTTTTTAAAAAAACATCCTTATTAGATGCATTTTGATTTTAGTTTATTATCATTACTTTACTTTGTCAATATGCTACTTGTTTAAGCGGGTTTTCCTAGTGATTCTTAAATGGTCATTTTAGTATTATCAAGAGGTTTGCTATTGATAGCTTGGTTCATTGTTGGATTTTTTACTCTTTATTGTGCGTAGGCTAGAACTTGGATGTGTTTTGATTGGAATAGAAATTTATTTTGCTTTATGTCTAATGTAGGACTATTGGATGGTATGAACTCATGTGTTGGATAATTTTAGTTTTCGTTTTAAAAAAAAATTGATTCTTATTGAATTACAATGGCTTTATTAGAAATATGTATGTTTAAGGGGTTATGATAATCTTTTGAACATTAATTTCATTATGTTCTATAAAGTATTTTGTACATTATTTTGTTTTTTCATGAAGGGTTACATGTGGTTGTTTTTTTTTTAATATTTTTATATTTTGATTTTTGTTATCAAACTCCCATCTTTGTTAACTATACAAATCATATTGCTTCTTTTATTTTATTAATGTTACATCAATTTACTTTGAAATGGTATAAATATAATTTTTTAGTGTAAGTTATAAATAATTTAATCAATATTGTAAATTATATATAATAAGTATTTTAGAAAACGTGTAAAAATTATAAGTATTTATCAAGTTAGAAGCATGTGACATAACATATGTTTAAATCTCTTAATAAAGAATGTGAAATCAGCTTTCCTGTTCAAGTCATGATAAGGACCTTTGGATATCATTTTGATTCTAATTGTATCGTATGCCTTTATTGTAATGAATACAAGTTCAGTGTGAATTATTAATGTGATTTGTTTTTCATAGTGTTGTAGAATTTTTCACCATGAAAAGGAAAGAGCGTTGGTGGATGTACGATAGATACGATGGCGGTAATGCTTGTAGACTTAGGCCAGAGTTTGTGGATGGTGTTGAATAATTCATACGGTTTTGTGAAGCTCATCCTAAGAGCCCGGGCATAGATGAAGTAAGATGCCCTTGTCTGTTATGTAAGAATAGACGTCTTCATGATGCCAACACAGTAAAACTCCATTTGTACAAAAAGGGGTTTATACCTGATTACTATGACTGGGTTTCTCATGGTGAAGGGTTCCCTATATCAAGTGTAGACCAACCAAATAATTACCGTGAAATGGTTCTCGATGCTCTTGGGAGTAATCATGAACCACCAGGTGACGATAGTACTAGTGGTTCAGAAGAAAAGCCAAATGCTCAAGCAAAAGCATTTCACGAGCTTTTAAAGGCTGCCGAGCAACCACTATACAAAGGTAGCTCCATGTCTGTGCCAGAAATGGCATCTCGAATTGTATCTTTGAAGTCGGAATACAATTTTCCCCATAGGTGCGTTGATGGGTTTGCTTCATTACTGAACGAAGCGATTCCCGACAATAATAAGATGGGGAAACATTCTATGATATAAAGAAGATTCTTAACGGACTTGAGCTTCCGCACAAGAAGATCCATGCATGCCCAAAGGGTTGTATGTTATTTTGGAAAGCTGATGCTGAGTTGGATAAGTGTAGAGTGTGCAAAAGGGATAGATACAAGAGGACTTCAAAGGGGTCATTGGTTCCAATAAAAGAACTCATCTATTTCCCAATCACTCCAAGGCTACAACGGTTGTTTGCAACAAAGAACATTGCGGAGGAAATGACTTGGCATTCCAAAAATCCAAGAGTCCAAGGAACAATGGCGCATCCTAGTGATAGTGAAGCTTGGAAGCACTTGGATAGATCCTTCCCCGATTTCGCATCTGAACCTAGAAATGTGAGACTTGGTATGTGTACCGATGGGTTTGCTCCTAATGGAAAGTTTGGGGGTCAGTATTCATGTTGGCCAGTCATTCTGACCCCTTATAACTTGCCTCCATCGATGTGCATGAAAAAACCATTTATGTTCCTTTCTTTGCTCGTTCCTGGTCCTAAAAATCCGAATGGAAACTTGGATGTGTATATGCAACCGTTAATTGAAGAACTGAAAGAACTGTGGGATGTTGGTGTAACAACTTACGACATCTCGGAAAGAAAAAAACTTTAATTTGCGTGTAGCAATCTTGTGGACTATAAGTGATTTCCCAGCCAATGGTATGCTTTCTGGATGGGCAACAGCTGGTAAAAAAGCATGTCCATATTGCTTGGACAAATCAAAATCTTTTTGGCTTGAACATGGTGGCAAAATGTCTTGGTTTGATTGTCACCGACAATTTCTTCCTCCCGAACATCCTTTTCGAAACAACAAAATTGCTTTTTGAAAGAACAAGGTTGAAAAGGGGACACCACCTCACATAATGTCCGGCGATGAGCTATAGCAACAAGTTCAACACTTTGCTAAGGCAACAGATGGACCAGAAGCACTTGCAAGCTTGAAAAAGAAGAAACTAGCTTGGTTTAAGCAAAGCGTTCTTTGGGAGCTACCGTACTATAAGACTCTTCTCCTCCGCCACAACCTCAATGTGATGCATATTGAAAAGAATTTCTTTGACCAACTAATTCACACAGTGATGGATGTGAAAAAACATACTTCAGACACAGTTGCATCAAGAATTGACATTGCAAATATTTCAAACGACCACAACTACATGTGACGGAGGATGCGAGAGGCAAAGACACTATGCCGAAAGCCCCATTCTCACTCGACAAGGCTCAAAATAAAGTGTTATGCGAGTGGGTAAGGAAATTGAAATTTCCCGATGGTTATGCTTCTAATTTGAGTAGATGTGTAGATTTAAAATCATGTAAGCTTCATGGTTTAAAGAGCCACGACTGTCATGTCTTCATGGAGAGATTTTTGCCAGTTGCTTTGAAGGAATTGCTCCCAGTCCATGTTTGGAAAGCTATTACTGAGATTAGTCTTTTCTTCCGTGATCTTTGTTGTTCCACCATCAAATTGAGTGATATGGAAAGATTGGAACAAAACATTGCAGAAATTCTTTGTAAGCTCGAGAAGATATTTCCACCAGCATTCTTCAACTCTATGGAACACTTACCAGTTCACTTGCCTTATGAAGCTAGGTTATGTGGTCCTGTCCAATATCGTTGGATGTATCCGTTTGAAAGGTTTAAGCTCCTACAAACTCATAGCTGCCATTTTCGTTTATACACCTATAGTTGTTTTCATAACATATACTTATTCAATATTTTTTATTATAGGTTCCTTAATCATTTGAAATGTAAAATTGGCAATAAGGCTCGTGTGGAAGGTTCAATATGCAATTCTTATCTAACGGAAGAGATAGGGTACTTTTGCTCTAACTACTTCCAACAAGGAGTGGATACCAAAACATGGGACTTAGGTCGTAATGTTCATGATGATGTTAAAAGCACTTTGGATGATAGTGTTCTAGAACTGTTTAGGGTTGATCATGGACATGCTTCTACTGGTGGAGTTCGTCGCTATTTGGATGAAAAAGAACTGCAACGTGCTCATTTATATGTTTTGGGAAATAGCGGTATTCTGGAACCATATGAGAGGTATTAAATTTGTAAATTATCACACTCACTAAGATTTCATTGAATTTTACATCGTATCCAATGTCGACCACCTTCATTAATACTCTTTCTCTGGTTATATGGAAGGGGGTTTGAGGACCACATTGTTCAATTGCAACCCACTATTCGCAAAGAAGATGTGTGGATTAAACATGAAGCTGAATTCCTCGAGTGGTTTAGGTTGAAAGTGAGTATGATACGCATTTGACATCAACACGTTTTCTTACTTTGTGTCTATAACTTCACGACTAATATCAATTTATTTATATAATTATGCCATATGAGCAGGTGATTCAAGAAAAGCCAAATGATGAAATATTGTTTGCTTTGGCTATGGGCCCATCTAAGCGAGTGCGTACTTGGAGACAATTCATGTGAATGGATACAAATTCCAAACTTATGGCCATGGAAAACATAAGTCAATAATGAACTATGGAGTAAGCGTATCGAATGAAGATGGTGGTGATTATTTTTGTATTCTAGAGGATATCATCGAGTTGGAGTTCATTGGTGCCCTACGGACTTATAAGACTGTTCTTTTCAAGTGCAGTTGGATGGATTCCACTAGGGGTATGAACATTGATCCATACAAGCTTGCAGAAGTGAATCATACCAAAAAATATCCCAAGTACGATCCATTTGTGCTTTCTTACCAAGCAAACCAAGTCTACTATGCACCTTACCCAAGTCTGAAAAGAGACAAGGCTCAATGATGGGCAGTGTTCAGGACAAAGGCGAGGTCTGTTGTTGATGCACCAGTTGACGAAGACTTTCTATAAGAAACCAGTGCTGACATTCCAACTCTTTGTGCTCCGGATGACATTCTGGACTATGAAGGTGATGAAGATGGTTTTGGAGATTCAGATACTGAAAATGAAGTGTTGCCCGATGCCCCTCCAGACGAGTCCAGTTTCAAATCTACTGATAGTGAGGACGAGGATGAGGATGACGGATTTTGGGATGACGATACCGATGATGATCTTAGCGCTGATGGGGAGGATGATTCAACTGAGTTTTAGGATATTGATTGTAACCTTGTTTTGACTTTTTAATTATGTAATCTTAATGGATGTCAATTTATTTTAAAAGACCATCCTAGTTTCAATGTGATATACTTGTGTAAATATGTTATTATTTATATTTTGCAAAGCCAAGGTTATGTGTGACAGTAGCTTATAAATCGTGATATAACATGGATATATGTGGGGAATAGATTTCAAGCGTTAATCCCACTAGCTTGAACCCCACTGTGATCATACTCTAAAGTACGGTGGCGTCCAAAAGGGAAGAAGATAGAGCAAAAGAGTCGCCAACAAGTTTTAGGAACTTGTAAACTGTTCACAGGGTGAAGGTTACACCCCTTAACGATCCATGAGATCGTCAACTCTATAAGGTCTAGAACCAAATAAGGGTTCGGGGATGAAGGTACAAATCCAACCTAAAAGAGATTGAACATGCCCTAATAATAGGCCTCTGTTTTATTTTGATCGTATTCATGTGTGCTTTTTAATTAACATGCAATCAATAGAATTAACCCTAAACCTGTTTATCTATGTTGGTTGAATATAATGCACAAATAAATCCATTATTGGCGATCACTTGAATTATAATCAAATTAACCCTAAACAAGATTATTAATTATCTTATTAAGCATGATTACAAGTACCAAATTCCCTTTAAACATGCATAAAAGGCGTGATCAAGCAATAAAATAAATAATAATATGTATCAAGAAACATAATAATAATCAATATCATGAATAATAATTATAATAATCATAATAATATAAAATAATCATCATCAAAATAACAATAATAATTATATTCACAATCATCATAAATTATAATAATTATAATCGTAATCATGTTCATGTTAATATTAAAGCATAATAATAGCAAGATCCTAGGCATGATACTAACAAGATTCATAACAAACCCTAGCATGTCACTAAGCAATAAAAACCAAATCTTTAACCCTAACATGATACTAACATGAACAAATATTAGGAAGAACATAGGAAGCATCGTAACAATCATATTTAATATTAAAATTACCCTAGACATGATACTAGGAATATCATAATAACAATATAAACATGATTTCTACATCATAATATCAATTAAAACCATTAAAGCACTTACTTTGATACCTCGTACCTCTTTCTAATAACAAAATACACACGTTAGTAACTTCAAGGAAAATAATAATCAAACAATTAAATTAAATAATTGAAATAGAGATTTGGGACCAAACCCTCATAAACTAAACCTTTCACGTCTAGGGCGAAGGCAACTTCGAATATGGCTAGATGTTTCTAGATCTTATGAATGCGGAATTTTGTATGCAAAAGAAAAGTTTAGAAAAAGAGAGAGAGAATAATCAAGAAAATCTTGATGAGAGTCGGTGAATATTAATTAAAACTGATTGTTGATGAGAATCAGTGAATGAAAACGGAGTTTTTAATACGTTATTTATAGAGAAATCAGCCAAAAAGATAAAATATCAAAACAGAGCACTTGGCGCACGCAAAACAAGGTTGGCGCACGCAAAACAGAGCTGGCGCAAGCACCAGCTAATTGGCGCCAGGCGCCAGGCCTGGTTCTAGGCGCTGATTTTAAAAATTCACGCGTTTTTGTTTTTATCATATCTTTTGATCCGGAAGTCCAAATAAAGATTATAATATGTCGTTGGAAAGCTATTAAAGTTTACTTTCTAACCCAGTTAGAATCAGATTAAAAGATTTTGTAGATAAAAATATATGGCCGAAATAGTGGGACGGTGTAAGTTTTGGATAGAGTTCCATGTCTCATTCATATCTTTTTCGTTATAGATCGGATTTAATATTATAATATATCATTGGAAAGATAATTTCAAGATTTATCCAACCATATAAAATTTGGATAAAGATTATGAGGCACAAAAATAAAATCTGACTGTCTTTGAACATCTTTAAATTCGAATAGAATTAGGATTTAAGAAAAAGGAAAGTTTTAAAAACGGAAAGTTTTTATTTAACTCAAATTCTTTAATGTTATCTTTTCAAAAAGGATAATTAAGATCTTTTAGAAACTTATGGAAGCTTCTAATTAATCCTAATTAGTTTAGGAATAGGATTAAACCTTTGGACCCTCCTCATGATCATTGGGCCGTAGGTAAGATCCGGTTCGAGCCTAGTTTAGTATTTTGGTCATAACTTCCTCATTATTCATCGGAATTGGGATTATAATATATCGTTGGAAAGTTCTTTTCAAGCCCTATCCAACTATACCATTATTGGACCCTTATCACAGACCAAAATAAACTGGAATGTACGTTTTTCATAAATAAGGTAAGAAAATAAATATTTTCAAAAACATAAAGAAGAGATATTTTAATAAAAACATCCTCATCACTAGACTTTTCACACTTTCGCTTTATTCGATAATCAAATGACATGAAAGGTATTCATCACTGGGTTTGGTTTTGGGGAGACACTAATGGGTGTCTACACTATATGATTTTTACCGATGTTCATAATGTTTTTCTTATTGTAGGTTGTCATGGCCGATGGTGGTCGTCAGAAGCTGGGACATGCCACCCCGAGAGAATTGTTTCCGTCAACAAGTCATGCAAATACGGAAACTTCTCCGGAAGTTACCCCATCCCCTGAGCCATGTGTAGGTGGTTCTAGGACATCTACTCAGGTTCCTAAGACGCAAGACGGTAACTCTCCCATGGGTGAGGTTCCTACCCCCGTTGCGAGAAGGACTTTGCACCCGACGGGGTTATGGTAAGTTACTCATGGTTATCTTAATTTGCATTCCAACTTGAACAATCTTGGTTAGATTTGTATGTAATGACTTCATTTGTTTGCTTATTGGTACAAAGGTTCAATGATAACACCGTGAGCACCTCCATTACAAATATTTTTCAAGCACATTAGCGCGAACCATGGCTTAAATATGACATGGTTGACAAGGTTACTAAGACCCACTGGTGGAACTCGTTTACGGTATTATAAAACCCCCAAGTTTAGTTTACTCATATAACTTTGTTGTTTTTTAGTTACTTATTACAATAAATTATTATACATTTTATTTTTCTTGTTTGCAGAAACAATACCTTTGGAATGCTGATCTTGATGCCCTCGTGAAGAAGGAATATGAAAAGAAGGCACATAAGAGGATGAAAGAGATTACATACAATGTTTCGGTCAGAAACAAGTCAGTTCCCAGATGGATGGGAGAGGCTATGTTTGAGCGAATTATGGAGAAAAGAAAGGATCCGGTATTTCTGGAGAGGTCTGAAAAAGCGAAGAAGAACAGGAGGGGCAGCTCCCTGTCTAATCCAATTGAACCGTCACACTTCCAAGGTTCTATCTCTGTATCAAAGCATGCAAAGAAAATGGTAATACTTAATGGTATATAATGATACTGATAAATTTTAGTAGTTACATATACTAAGCATTTATGGAGTTATTTGATTTGTGCAGGCTCAGAAAGCCGGTGGAGTGCTTCCAACTGCTCCTGAGGTGTTCCTAAAGACACATTTCAAGGAAGTTCCAAGAAAAGGAAAAGTTGCGGCTAACAAGAGGGCACAACAAATCTTGGTAACACATCTAACTTTGGAAACTAATGAAATTATTTTTTAAGGAAGCAAGCAAAACATAGGCACTTATACTTGTGATTTGAAATTTGAGGAACCTATAGACTTGTAAATTCTTGAAAATATCTATGATTAACCAATTTGAACCTATAATCATGTTTTTTATGCTAAATTTGAGTTGTTTGATCGATAAAATCTTAAAATATTGTAAAAACAAAGAATATGGCTAAGTTAGAATGCCATTTATGCCATTTTAGCCTCGTCATGAACCTATAGCCATGAATATGCATGAAAATGTGGAATTTTTTGCAATATGAACCTATAAACATGTTTAATATGCTTATTATGAGTTGTTTGATTTCTAAAATCTTAGAATATAGCAAAAACAAAGAAAATGGGTAAGTTAGAAGGTCATTTAAGCCATTTTAGCCTAGTCATGAACCTATAGCCTTGTGTATGCTTGAAAATGTGTATGCTTTAGCAATTTATTCCTATAAACATGTTTTGTATGCTAAACATGAGTTGTTTGATTGCTAAAATCTTAGAATATAACAAAAACAAAGAAAATGGGTAAGTTAGAAGGTCATTTAAGCCATTTTAGCCTAGTCATGAACCTATAGCCTTGTGTATGCTTGAAAAAGTGTATGATTTAGCAATTTATGCCTATAAACATGTTTTGTATGCTAAATATGAGTTGTTTGATTTCTAAAATCTTAGAATATAGCAAAAACAAAGAAAATGGGTAAGTTAGAAGGTCATTTAAGCCATTTTAGCCTAGTCATGAACCTATAGCCTTGTGTATGCTTGAAATTGTGTATGCTTAAGCAATTTATGCCTATAAACATGTTTTTTATGCTAAATATGAGTTGTTTGATTGCTAAAATCTTAGAATATAGCAAAAACAAAGAAAATGAGTAAGTTAGAAGGTCATTTAATCCATTTTAGCCTAGTCATGAACCTATAGCCATTAATATGCATGAAAATGTGTAAGTTTTTGCAATTTTAACCTATAAACATGTTTTGTATGCTAAATATGAGTTGTTTGATTGATAATTTCTTAAAATATAGCAAAAACAAAGAAAATGGCTAAGTTAGAATGTCATTTATGCAATTTTAGCCTAGTCATGAACCTCTAGCCATGAATATGCATGAAAATGTGTACGTTTTTGCAATTTGAACCTATAAACATGTTTAATATTCTAAATATGAGTTGTTTGATTGCTAAAATCTTAGAATATAGCAAAAAAAAGATAAAGGGTAAGTTAGAAGGTCATTTAAGCCATTTTAGCCTAGTCATGAACCTATAGCCTTGTGTATGCTTGAAAATGTGTATGCTTTAGAAATTTATGCCTATAAACATGTTTTGTATGCTAAATATGAGTTGTTTGATTGATAAAATCTGAGAATATAGTAAAAAAACAAAGAAAATGGGTAAGTTAGAAGGTCATTTAAGCCATTTTAGCCTAGTCATGAACCTATAGCCTTGTGTATGCTTGAAAATGTGTATGCTTTAGCAATTTATGCCTATAAACATGTTTTGTATGCTAAATATGAGTTTTTTGATTTCTAAAATCTTAGAATATAGTAAAAAAAACAAAGAAAATGGGTAAGTTAGAAGGTCATTTAAGCCATTTTAGCCTAGTCATGAACCTATAGCCATGAATATGCATGAAAATATGTAAGTTTTTGCAATTTTAACCTATAAACATGTTTTGTATGCTAAATATGAGTTGTTTGATTGATAATTTCTTAAAATATAGCAAAAACAAAGAAAATGGCTAAGTTAGAATGTCATTTATGCAATTTTAGCCAAGTCATGAACCTCTAGCCATGAATATGCATGAAAATGTGTAAGTTTTTGCAATTTGAACCTATAAACATGTTTAATATTCTAAATATGAGTTGTTTTATTGCTAAAATCTTAGAATATAGCAAAAAAAAAGGATAAAGGGTAAGTTAGAAGGTCATTTAAGCCATTTTAGCCTAGTCATGAACCTATAGCCTTGTGTATGCTTGAAAATGTATATGCTTTAGAAATTTATGCCTATAAACATGTTTTGTATGCTAAATATGATTTTTTTTATTGCTAAAATCTTAGAATATAGAAAAAACAATGAAAATGGGTAAGTTAGAAGGTCATTTAAGCCATTTCAGCCTAGTCATGAACATATAGCCTTGTGTATGCTTGAAAATGTGTATGCTTTAGCAATTTATGCCTATAAACATGTTTTGTATGCTAAATTTGAGTTTTTTGAATGACAAAGTCTTAGAATATAGTAAAAAAACAAAGAAAATGGGTAAGTTAGAAGGTCATTTAAGCCATTTTAGCCTAGTCATGAACCTATAGCCATGAATATGCATGAAAATGTCTAAGTTTTTGCAATTTTAACCTATAAACATGTTTTGTATGCTAAATATGAGTTGTTTGATTGATAATTTCTTAAAATATAGCAAAAACAAAGAAAATGGCTAAGTTAGAATGTCATTTATGCAATTTTAGCCAAGTCATGAACCTCTAGCCATGAATATGCATGAAAATGTGTAAGTTTTTGCAATTTGAACCTATAAACATGTTTAATATTCTAAATATGAGTTGTTTTATTGCTAAAATCTTTGAATATAGCAAAAAAAAAGGATAAAGGGTAAGTTAGAAGGTCATTTAAGCCATTTTAGCCTAGTCATGAACCTATAGCCTTGTGTATGCTTGAAAATGTATATGCTTTAGAAATTTATGCCTATAAACATGTTTTGTATGCTAAATATGAGTTTTTTTATTGCTAAAATCTTAGAATATAGAAAAAACAATGAAAATGGGTAAGTTAGAAGGTCATTTAAGCCATTTCAGCCTAGTCATGAACATATAGCCTTGTGTATGCTTGAAAATGTGTATGCTTTAGCAATTTATGCCTATAAACATGTTTTGTATGCTAAATTTGAGTTTTTTGAAGGACAAAGTCTTAGAATATAGTAAAAAAACAAAGAAAATGGGTAAGTTAGAAGGTCATTTAAGCCATTTTAGCCTAGTCATGAACCTATAGCCATGAATATGCATGAAAATGTCTAAGTTTTTGCAATTTTAACCTATAAACATGTTTTGTATGCTAAATATGAGTTGTTTGATTGATAATTTCTTAAAATATAGCAAAAACAAAGAAAATGGCTAAGTTAGAATGTCATTTATGCAATTTTAGCCTAGTCATGAACCTCTAGCCATGAATATGCATGAAAATGTGTAAGTTTTTGCAATTTGAACCTATAAAAATGTTTAATATGCTAAATATGAGTTGTTTGATTGATAAAATCTTAGAATATAGCAAAAACAAAGATAAAGGGTAAGTTAGAAGGTCATTTAAGCCATTTTAGCCTAGTCATGAACCTATAGCCTTGTGTATGCTTGAAAATGTATATGCTTTAGCAATTTATGCCTATAAACATGTTTTGTATGCTAAATATGAGTTTTTTTATTGCTAAAATCTTAGAATATAGCAAAAACAAAGAAAATGGGTAAGTTAGAAGGTCATTTAAGCCATTTTAGCCTAGTCATGAACATATAACCTTGTGTATGCTTGAAAATGTGTATGCTTTAGCAATTTATGCCTATAAACATGTTTTGTATGCTAATATGAGTTGTTTGAATGAAAAAGTCTTAGAATATATCATAAACAAAGAAAATGGGTAAGTTAGAAGGCCATTTAAGCCATTTTAGCCAAGTTGTAATCCTATAGCCTTGTAAATACTTGAAAATGTGTATTTTTCGCAATTTGAACCTATAAACATGTTTAATATGCATAATTTGTTTTGTTTGATTTCAGGAAGCCTACCAAAAGAAGCTTGACGAGTCTTCCACTCAAGAAGGGTCACAACCGGACCCTAACCAGCTATACTGGGAGGTCGTTGGTGGTAGGAAAAAGGGTGTAGTGAAGGGCCTAGGTGCAAGTGCTAGTTTGTTTTACAGCCCCTCTTCCAAGAAAGGCTCGCAATCGTACAATCCTTCTATAGCTTCACAGTTGGAGGAACGTGTGCAAGCCGAGGTTGCCGAGCGAATAGAGGAGGCAAAAGTGCAAATGCAGGCACAAATGGAGGCACAGTTTGCAACACAATTGCAGGAGGCATTGAAGAAGGAGCGGGAGGAGGTAGCAATTGAGAGTAAGCGAATGATGGTGACAATGATGCAGAACTTGTTCTCTAACTGTTCAGGTGGTCCTCCATTTCAGTTTCGTAGGGAAGATGACCCGGACATGACTGGTGGTGGGCTTGGTCACCAGACTCCGGTGTCGTAGTTTTTGTTCATAAAGTTCTTACATTAGTATTGTTGATATAGGCCTTAGTATTTTTGTAGGGGAATATAGGCCTTAGGTTTTTTTTGGAATATAGGCCTTAGGTTTTTTGGGGGGGGGATATATGCCATTTTGTTATTTTTTTGGGGAATATAGGCCTGAAATTAGTATTATATTGTCACATGTTGGCCTTATCTATTTTTTGAAGGAACATAGGCCATTACTTATTCATATAGACCTAACTTAGTTTTAAAGTTAAGCTTATAAAACTATTACTAACTAATTACTATTATTATTAACTTGAACATTGTTATTGTATGTATTGTTCGAAGTTGGACTTTTTAATTATTAATATTATTATCTATATGAATTATGCATTTTATTTTTATTTTAATTTTATATTAATTTTGAAATTAATTCACATGATAACGGGTTATAGGTTCAGGTTAGGATGGCATCGATAAGGCAAATTGCATTATAATAATATCATATTTGCGACCGTCTATACTGTCGCAGGTTTAATAAATTGCAAACGTTTACCTACCCTGTCGCAGATCCCTTGTTTTTGCGACCGTCAGGGCCTGTCGCAGATCACAGGAATTTGCGACCGTCTTAAGCGGTCGTAATTTATTGAAATTTGCGACCGTCAGGGCATGTCGCAGATTCCATGTTTTTGCGACCGTCAGGGCCTGTCACAGATCACAGGAATTTGCGACCGTCTCAGACG